GCACGACACAGTTAAATCCACTAAACCCCAACAACATTTTCTACTTTCTAGACAAGAATTTCAAGCTGCAGCAGGTCTCGGGGGCACCATCTGAGGAAACTGCTAACCAACAGTAGCTAAAGTACTTACGGTGCCAACTTTCTTCCTCCCAGTCCCACACCTATGACACTAGACCTTAATTTTTCAAGCATCCCACTACAGTAAATTATTACAATTACATTAGACGTCATGTTGGGGTTAAGCTAATTTTTTTTTTTTTTTGTCATAATGTAACTTCTCATGATTAAAGCATAGAATAAAGTTTGTCATGTATGATTATGAGATTATTTTGTGAGATGAAGATTGTGGATGAATTATTTTTCAAACGTTTGAGATCACATGGAGTGGTGTCATGATACAACAAATTACTCAACATCCCCAGGCATTGAAATATGGCACATACCATCATTTAGACAAATCAGTACAAATAAATACCATTCTGAGGAAGGTAGAGAACATCTATAAGCTTTTTATCAAAAGGAGAGGGAGCACCTAAATATCAAATGGCAATGTTGTCTCTACCTTAGGGAACCATTTTAGCACAATCCAAGTTACAAAATTCATGATGGAGCATTTATCAGCTAGAAAGAAAGAAGGTATTCATGAATTCTTGTTATTACCTCTGCTGCAAAGGCAATTCAGTTCGACTTAATTTGACACCAGTCTGCAAGTGACCACCATTATCTTTTTTACTCCAGTCCTTTCCCTCCTCCTACAAATTTCATATATTAGTAACAGCTAGATATTAAGTATGTAAGGAAAAGTGCAATGACTTCAGTTGCAGGATTAGAAGAGCAGAGCAGAAGAATCTCATTGATATTGACTAAAGAGCTATATATCTTGAAAAGGCAAAAAGTGCAAGGCAAGTTAGGTGAGAAGCATCCACATAGAGTAGTTCATGCAAAATCAGACCTCTTTGAAATAAGGAAGAATATTAATACCAACAAGAATGACAAGTCGCCAAATTGGAACAGATAAACATTTGTCAAATATCATTTCTAGAAAGATAATGGCATCAAGTAACACTCTTAGAATTCAAACTCCTTTATTCATTTGAGAAAGTTTAATATATAAAAGAAGACATACCAAATCCATAGACACTTAATGGAGTTGAATTTTCATTTTATTGGATCCATAGCTTGAATCTGCTGCTTCCACCTTGACAAGATGAAGCTCTTGCTCTCTTCAAGTTTCATTGTCTCACTGACATGAATTGTCGCAACCAAAGAAAATGAAAGACGACAATCTTAATCTCTTGTCTACTTTTACAGCATTCTTTAGAATATCACTTTTAAAATGACATATTTGATCCAGCAGGCAGCAGATCAGTGCAAAACTTTTTAAGATATAGTGTTCTAAAGGTTTCATATGATTACAAATCCAATTTTATGATCAGAAATGATACAATATAACTTCTTCTGATTTCATTGTACTTGATATGGATTTCTTCAGGGATCTTCACTAAAGAACTAGAAAGTGTACTGAAAGAATACCTCGGCATTTCCTGTTCTCTGAAGCCTCCAAGAGAAGTACAATACTAAGCCAGATTTTATTGTGGCATGCAACATAAAACTTCAACCCCGTAGAATCATCTTATATTTAAGAGAGATCGCCTGCGAGTCTAGAAAAGTCTGCAGGATTCATCTGATGAGAAAATGAGAAACAGCATCCAGTCATTTTGTAGGAGAATTAAAAATTTGTTCAAGACAAATTTTATCTCAATAAACTAGATGAATACTAGGGAACAAGAAATATTACAGCATATAATAGGAATGTCCACAGATGTCTGATCAAAGGAGAGGACGAGGAAGAATGATACTGCTGCTGATGGCAGTTCTGATTCTGCAAGAATTCAAAGCAAGTATAAGTATAAATGAACCGAAAGTTAAATTAGAGGACTAGACTAGAAATTTCAAACCACAGCTTCCAGATGAAGATTCACCCAACACCTGTTTGAAAATGTAAAACTGCATAAGAAATGCAATTTATACCATAATCTTGGGGGAATCTACCACAAAAAAATCGGGGGGAAAATAGAAGAAAAAACAAAAGAGAACTGGGACAGATGCATTGTTCACATTGGGATTACAAAATGTGACAATATTTTCTGACTTTATACAAAGCAGCAATGAAATTCAAAAGATTCATCTGTTGACTGAATTGCATTTAAGAGAACAGAATCAACTTGACATGAATTCTGTGCATTTCCAACAAATGGAAATGAATTTATAGATTAATCTTCCTCCAAAAGACTGAAAATTCTCACTGGCCCTAGCTTGTTGCAGTGTTTATCACTCTGTGTCAATGTCATCATCACCAGAAGATATTTGTCTAGGCTCTGACAACGATAGTCGCCTGGGCTTTGCAGAGCCTGTTTCAAGCCCCTCTGATGAAAAATTTAATCCTGTAGTTTCTGAAGATGACCCCAAGAAACGCCTAACAGGGGCATCAGCTGGAGATGATGGAGAGTAACTGTATGTAAAAATTCCCATAGGGTGGTTAAACTTGCAACTAGGACCAAATTTGCAGATACCATATCGAGAGTAGAAAATGCACACAGGTTCTCCCTGTCAAAAAAGACAAACCAGTCTCATCAAAACCCTTTTTGTTTAAAAAGATAAAATAACAATTCAATCAGTTGAAGACATAGGAATGCTCTCTTCGGCAAATCTTAATCCTGATTATATCACAGCCTACGTCAAATCAGTTCTGCATCAAGGATTAAAGCTTATTTTTGACACTAGTATGTATCAATTAAAAATCAATGATTCAACAAAAGAACCCTATCATTTAAACATTTTTCAATACAAGAGAAATTTTAATAACAATAAATTCTTTTGCCTGACTGCAATGCTTGCCATAGGAAAGGAAAAGAAAAGAAACAACTGCCAACAAAACAACTCACCGAACGCAAAGGGAGACCTATAGGACTCAAGGCACAATCTGGAGCAGGAAGAACTCTCTCACTTGGATGGTGAAATCTGCAAACCGCACCAAACTTACAATCTCCAGTCTTCATGTAAAATTGGCAGTTAGGCTGACCGGGTCTCTCAGGAAATACATTCTCCCTTTGCAAGGCATAAAACCCAACAGGGACAGATCCAGATCGGAATGGAGAAAAGGACCCTTGGGATCCAGCAGTAGCTGATTCATTTTGGAGTGGGGCTCCATATATTTGATTGTTTCCAGCAACTTGCTGCAGGTTCTCTGAAGAAGAAACAGATGCCAATTGACCCTGGAAAAATGACAACACACAAGAATGTTATCACTGCTAAAAGAACACAAGCTCCATATGCACAATGCTTTCTACTCAACTAGAAAGCTAACGTATGCATCCAGAAAGGGGAAAAAATATTGTTGCCCAATTAGAGACCTCTTGAAACAACCCTACCCTTAGCATTTCGTTAAAATAACTGCTTGAGATAGGAAACTTCACCACTTGTTAGCCACTCACCAACACTCCCCTTTAAGGCTCTAAGCCTCAAGTCAAATCCATCAGCCTTCAATTTGAGGCTTAATCTTTTTTAGACCCAAGAGGAATTTAAATAATAGAATTTTAGTCAGTGAAGGAATCCACTTTATGTTGTTGAACCTCCAGTTCTGTGGTCATCTTGGACGCCATTCAATCCCACAGCTAATCAGCAGTTAGTACCATCCAAACACAATTCAAAGATAGAGCAATACTCTTATCAGCGGGGGATATTGGTTAAATTGTCACCATTTTAGCTATCACTGAACAAAAATTAATCATGGCAGGCAAAAGATAAAATGCAATCAGCTAAAAGGGTTGTTTGTGGTTGATCTTGAAACTGCTTCCCACAAAATATTAGACAATATCAGTCACTTAAAGATATGATCATGTATGATATTATTTCAAAAGCATGAAATTCCAGCATTATTAGCAACAGCCAACACTTTAAACTTCTTCTAATGCCACCCTAGCATCCTACAAATAATTGTAGATAGCAAACAAGGGTTCCAAATAATCTGTAATAAGGCTAAGGAATAGCTTACACTGTATGCATTCCACGCTGGAAGTGATAGCATCCCTTGAGGTAAAATCAAAGGTGCATAACTGGAAGGACCTTGCCACCTTGGGCTGGGAATAAAAGAAGCTCTTGACCAATTTGTAATCCCTCCTGGATATGACTGCTGACCAGGGGTAGTAGGTGATTGGACAGTGGGATAAGCAGGAGAGCCATGCAATGAAACCATCATATTATTTGGCTGAGGGTGATGAAATTTGCAAGTGCTTCCAAACTTACATTGTCCAGTTCTCAAATAATAAGCACATTCAATCTCGTTCTGCAGGAAACAAAATGAGTAAAGACAAGGTGAAAGTGATTAAGACAGATCTAAGAAGAATAAACATGACCATCAAACAGAATGGCCAGGTCTTAGAAACAAGTAATTTCTCGGCTACAGCTTGCCTTGATCAGGTCCAAACACATACAGATATACAACATTAACTGCGAGATCAACAGCAGTCCCAAATTCAGCTATGTCACTTCATTTATTGGTTCCAAACAAAAAGTAAGAAGAATATGACAAAACTTCTCTTCATTGCATGGATTTGAATTCCATCTCATAGAATAGATGTGTATCCCAGAATTTTTGCATTTTGTTATATCAGTTACAAATGATATACCAAAAAATTCCAACTATGCAATCATATAAATTGAGTATATAATTATTGTCTTCCAAAATATGGCAAACAACACTGACATGTAATCAGTTCACCATTCTGCAAAGCTAATTCTAAGCAAATGTTTTGCATTAATTATTCAAAAGAAAAGGAATAGTCAAAAACAGAATAGGAATAGGCTCTAATATGTTACACACTAACAATGAATTGTATCACTGTCTTTAGAGTGTAAAAGGAAAATATAAAATCCTTACTGGGCGAAGAGGGTAACCCAATATATTTAAAGAAACTCTCCCAGCTATCCCAGCCTTGTCTTTGGGATGATGGAACTTGCATGTAGGACCAAACTTGCAGGTTCCTGTCTTCAGGTAGTACTGGAGAACAGTTAAAAGCTATATTATTCGCCAGATTGCATGAATACAAGAAATTGATAAAATTTTAGTCCAATAATTAACATCATGCATATGAATAACTAATACTCAAAATGGTAATTACTTTCACAATCACATGCTAACTTCCATTCCCATATAAGCTAGATTGAATTGAATTCTATCTTAATTTTCAAGCATGAACAAAGCTAATTTCACAAGAATAAAAAAAATATATTACGAAAATCCGATCATCTGATCAAGCAGTGTGTTGAGACTACAATGTGATTCTTATGTTAACCCATGTCACCTGATAGAATCAGATGGAACATTCTCCTAATATAAAATAGATCCCTTTCCAAAACCAAAAAGGAGGAACGGGGGAGGAAGATAAAATAGCTGAAGTTACAGATTAATACTTTATCATCAACATTTTTTGGCCATTAAATCTGTGGGAAACCTTAAAATCAGCTTAGATCATGAGTAGTCTACCACAATAAAATTATTTGAACTAGCATCACGATAGACCAAATCTCGAAAGTTTATAAAATAAAGAGCTATAGTGAATTTCTTTGCACAACAACATGTGTTGCATTTGACAGCTAATATAAATTATAAACAACCATGGAAAACAAGCAATGGCTTTCTTATCAAGGAAGCTAAATAATAAATACATGCCTGACATTCAGGTTGTCCTATTCTTTCTGGGAATTCTCCTTTCATCCTTGCAGCAGCAATTGCCTGGAAAATGACATACTCTAAATAAATACATCATTCAATATAATCTTAAAGAATGTATCAACTTTCACTTGATATTTTTAATTACCAAAATTTAGAGTTAATAATTCAAAGAAACTATCACTAGCACCACATGAATCATATTAATTTACTTCGCTGCAGGCATGTTAATCCATATATTATACTTACCTTTCCAAAGCAAGCAACACGATGCAAAGGTTCATGCATCTAGCATTTAAACTATATATCTAATATCATGACAACTATGATAATATGAGGGTCCCAGTTGGATCCAACCAAGAACCTCATTAACATTAAACAATCATTATCACACTCATCCTATTAAGTTCAGTATCATAATAATTTTCTAGGCAAGCTTCAGCTTCATACCAGATTCCTATTAGGAGGATGATTAAAATGACATGTTGCTCCAAATCTACAAAGGCCAGTCCTGATGTAATAAGAACAATCTGGTTCTCCAGGACGCTCAGGATAGGACGCAGGTTCCATTACTTCATCTGATCCCAAGTTCATTTGCCACATGGCATCTGAAATAATGTCAAATATGATAGGTTTAAGTACATATGTATATTACAAAAAGTTAGTCAGTTAACTAGTAGTAATTTTAAGTTTTACATTTCGTTCACAATACTCCTGGAATGTCTAAAAGACAGATTCAACATTAGGAGAAACTACACTACCAAAGGAAAATATCAAAACCATAGCTCTTAAGCCCCACGCCTCATATATTGAACAGGGTCCCCTAATAATTTGTTCTCTTCATCTCATCATCCAAAGACAAATAGGGAAGAACTTTTATTTGTCATTTTATTTTGTAACTGTTAAGATACATAAAGTTAAGTGAAGCCAAAACAGGTAAAGTAATTGTAATCCCCACATGTTGATCAGAATACCACCTGTCAGTCAACATCCCATCAGAAGCCAAGCAGAGCAAGACATTCATGCTTTTTTAGAAACTGATCAAGACATACATCCCACCTCAGACCCAAATGTCGATTGATACTTGCATGTCTTGATTAATATGTGCATCCAAACCAGAAAATTTTATAGTATTTTAACATAAAAGATAAAATATACATCTCTTGGCATATTTCACAATAAACACGAAGCAAAACACACGGTGATACCTAAGAAAAGGACAAAGATAATTAAAATGTGCTCCTTACTTTCATTCCTGGAGTTCACTTCAAAGCCTCAGGCTTAAAATTCAACTTCCTAGTTATACAACATTAGAATCCCAATTATTACTAAGTTTCAGTATTCATCAAAATAAAATTCTCCAAAAAACAGGGAGGAGGATTAAAAGAATAGTTTACAGTACGAAAACAAATGATTGTATTGCAAGGCTGAATTCAGATATAGAATTTATGGTCTGAAATCCAACATGAAAGAAAAGTACCATGCCTGGTTTCAAGGCTCCAACTACATCAATGATCAAACTAAATTCGTTCAACAGAAGAGTAAAGACACAAGATCACTTGTACTAAACCCAAAAAGGGATAATTCCCATTAAAAAACCATGATGATCACCACCTTAATTTCTTTCCTTCTATTAAAAAAAAAATCAAAATCGCAGGAAATTCCATAATTTCTCAAATAATCACATCTAGAATTCATGATTAAGCACCAAGTCAACATGATTCAATCACAATTAACCAAAAAGAAATTGACTTTACCAACAAAAATAGAAAACGAAACCAACAATCCTTCTCCTCTTGCATTTATACCAAACACCCAAAAACAGAAAACCCAACAACATTCCAACTCACCGAAGAAACAAACTTCAAAATTGAAAACAGAGTACGGAAGAAACACAGACCCTGATTCAACGACAGAGAGGTTCCTTCAGTCACGACCGCTGCTCTGGACATCGCATCAAACGAATTCCATTCAACAGTCATCCTCCTCCATCCATCACCCCCTCTACCAACTCCCTCCCACCGGAATTCCCATCCCTTGACCCAAATCCCCCGTCGGATTCAAAAAAAATAGAAACTCACTCTCAGCCCCTTCCTCTTCTCCCTCCGCGTCCTCTTCCTCTACTTCTCCTCCTCCTCCTCCTCCTCCTCCTCTTCCTTCTTACGTTATTTTGATACTGAGAGAAAAACCGAAAAAGAAGAAGAAGAAAAAAAAAGGAAGAGAGCGTTGTCTTCTCCTCTCCACAAAATCAAAAGAGAGGGAATAAAAACCAACCATTCCCCCAAACACACACACCCCTTTTCTCTTTTTCACCCGCGTTTTACACTAAACCGACGATCCCCCTCTTCCCCTCACTCGCTCGAGTACGTGTTCTCTCTCCCTACTCTCCCTCTCCCTCCGACGCGTAAGCATCGGCATTTGTCCTTGGCAATTTAGACCGCCCCGATTGGTTGTTCGTGGTCGTCTAGATTTTGGAAGAGACACGTGGAGCGTAAGGAAAGCGAGTGTGGAGAATGCGTGAGGAGAGAGGGTGGGAGTGGTTTTTCTATTTCCGTATGATGTCTTGTTTTTTTTAATACTTTTTGTAGTAACTGTCGTAGTTCGTAGTGCGTAGGTTGTAGGTTGTAGGTAGTGGTATATTTTTGCATTAATGGCAGTAAAAATCCTTTAACTTTATAAAAGGAGTCATTGTCATCCTTCTACTTTAAAACAAATCATAAATATCCTTGATCTTTAGAAAAAAAAGAAAAAGCCAAGCGTCATCCTCTATTGACTAAACGTTATAACACCGTCAATATATCCGTTAAAATCCTCGAATTTTATGGTAAAAGTAAAATGACATTGTTGGTCCCTCTACTTTTAGTTCTTATGCACTTTGATCCTTAAACTCCATATTTATTTAATTTAAGCCCTGATTTAAACTTTTTTTTATTGCAATTTAGTCCTAAACTTTTCTAAGAATTTCACTTTAAGTCTCAAAATTTTTAAATTTCATGGATTCCATTAATAATAAAAATCATGTAATATCCAATAAAATTACTTTCAACTCATTCAAAATATTAATAAAATTAAAATTAAAAGAATAAAGTAAATTACATAAAATTCATATATTCAAAGTGAAAAGTTACATATTTAATATCCAATTTGAGATCCTTAAAAATAAATAAAGGATATTTAGCAAGTTGTACATACATAACTCACATAAGAAAGAAAAAAATAACAATATTATGATTAAAAAAGGATAAATAAGAGATACTTATATTCTTTTTCTTATAATATACTAATAATTATAGAATCATTATTTAAAGTTATTATTAGTTTATGATATGAGTTTTATATATGAAAAAAGTGTTGTGTACTGCAAATTGTATTGAATTAGATTAGGGTTGGGCTCCAATATCAATATTCATGTTTTATAGTTTGGCAATACGAATTATAACTTAAAGTTCCTTTTATATATTTTAGTTTATTATTTCAAGTCTAATTTTATTGATATTTGAATGAGTTAAATACTTAAATATAATTTTATTAAAAGTTA